GTCTGTCTGTCTGTCTGTCTGTCTGTCTGTCTGTCTGTCTAATCTATCTAATCTATGTGGCTAGGGATATGCAATCAATAACGTTGCCATCGAAGTCTTCCTAGAATAATTTCTTCATAGAGAACACGTATCAACACCTAGCACACCGTCAAAGCCAATATTTGATCATTTTGCTGCAGGTGGTCTACCAAAGATTACAATTAGCCGCTAAGTGTGTATGTTGAACAGCTTTAATGAAGCTCGGAGAGTCTGTAGCTTTCCCTTTATTCCATGCCACAATCCTCGAAATCATACATCGTACACGGACTAGGACAAGTTTCTAACCCGTAGGTCCATTTTTCGGTTTTCAAACCATAAGCATGGACCACTTTGCGTACATGCTAAGCAAACTTCCGTTTTCTCGTATGTGTTAGTGAGCAGAGGAAGAAAAATCATCACCGAAATTATCAGTTATACTTCAATATTTTATTTCGACTTATTCATTCATAAGTTTAATGACCATTTCATCGGTAGTAAAAATGTTTCTATTTGCTCGTTCCTCTTGTATTGGTGTATTTCATACGTTACGGTCTCAAACTTGTCACGCTTGACCAAACCATACAGAAGTTGAGTTGCTGTTACAATGAACTGAAATCAAACCATCGTGAACATCACAACAATTTATCACCAGCTAGCAAGAGATGGATTAGATCTAAATCCTCTTGTCGTGTGGTTTCTGGTTTATAGCGTTCACGTTGTTCAGTAGAGGTGACCAAGGTTCGTTTACAATGAGTTTACAAAGATAGGTTGGGCTATGCCATTCATGCAATTTATTTCGATCAGTTGTCTAGTGGTGGTGCTTAAATCCTACTTGTGAGGGTTCCAGTTCAATCTCATGTAAGGTTCATTACGTATACTGATGTTGATACCCAAAATGGTTGCTGGGACTGTACAGCAACCAAAACCGGCGCACGAAAGTGCATGGTTAATAGTTGTTCAAACTGAAACTAAAACCGTGCTTCCCAGCGTTTCACTACGCGTTTATTTTGCTCTGTTTAGAACTAATTTCATTCTAAATGTTTCGGGCTTCACAACAGTTGCGAAATGTTATCTTCATTGTGACACCTCGTGATTGGATGTGTGTATCACCGACACCATAATCAACTGAAAATCTTGACGGGTCTAAAGATGCCCTCAGTGACCTGATTTACTATAACTGGACTTATTCAGGTAGCTTTATATGCCGCACATATTCGTCATAATCGCGGTTTGTAATCCGTACAGCCAGTTGCAGACCCGTGATAACCATCAGTTCTAATACCCCCTTCTCTCTCTGTATACACTTCCGGTGTCATGATTTCAACGTGACATTGTCCATAGGAATTCAAACACCACGACCAGTCATTCACCTTTCCACTACACGCATGTACACGTGTATGTAAATATGTATATGGGCATATGTTGAATGGAATGGACTATCACATACGTATTGGTTTCGTTTCACACACACGCACACACAGTTCACTCTAGTATATGTAATAACAGAATCAATCGAAGCTAAGTTCTGTCATCGTGGTTACCTTGTTTTTTTCTCACAATCGATTCGATCCCCGTCCCCATATACCCTTTCTTACTCTCTCTATCCATAGAGATGGTGAACAGTGTGATAGGTGCCTCGGGTTATCTGTTGCAACCGTGATAAATCACGAGGTGGTATATCTTATTCCGAATCGAATTTGCCTTTACTGTGTTTGAGTAATTGGCTTGTTCTTCCAAAAATTGTTCGTACGGGCTGGTGTGGAGTTGTTGCTGCGTTGATGAATCATCTACTAAGGGAATTTCAGCTGTCTACGGTTGGACAACCAAAAACAAATGTTCAGTTTAGTTCAGTTTGTAGAAATTGCACTTTCTGCGCCACTTTTGATTGCTGTTTTTTGGCTGACTCATTTCATCAACAAGTAGAAGAAAGTAAAAATCTGAGAACAATGTCGTGATCAAGATGCAGGACGCATATGAACCAGATGTGTGTGTGTATCTCTCTCTCTCTCTCTCTCTGTGTGTGTGTGTGTGTGTGTAAAGGAGATAGATACAGGAGCGCCCCTGTTTAGAAAAACGGTTTCATGTAAAATTGCCAACCAGTGATTAAGCGGGCTCCTAAATCCTCAACTGGGAAGTGTGACGTGATCCATATGAACAGTTACCCTGGTCAGAATGTTCATACCTTCTCGTTGTTTCATGATCTGGCGAACTTCGTCTTCGATCCAACCACTACTACCTCTATTATCTGCATCAGCAACCAACCGATAAACAAATGTAGCATAACNTGTTTGAATGATTATACTTCCTTTCATTGCCCATCCCTTTCTGGCATGTGATAAAAATCGTGTTCTTTCTCACTTTCGTGTAGAGTATAAGTTTGAAGTGCTTGCCCGATGTCACTATACTTTCTAAGCGCACTCCATTCAGGAACCACACATCACATTGTTCTTTATATCAATGACCTTTTTTATTTTGAATGCTGTGAGAGATTGATGCAATCACACACAAACTGTGTAGCGGAGTTGCTAAGTTCCGTAGTTACCCTCTCGCTTTTTCCGTACAGAAACAGTATTGGTGTTATTTTTCGGACACTAGGACAATCAATGGAGGAGTACATTGTTATCACCATGCAAGCTCGCCGGTTTTTTGTTAAATCGGGCTGTGTATTCTGTCTGTCAGTTGCTCTCATTGGTCGGTTACGAATGGTTGTTGCCGTCGGTAGTTTAATCAGTTTTAGTCACCATGTACATCGGCTTGTCGGCTTTAAAGATTATTGGAATTGATCATATAAATACGATGATACCGCAAACAATTTTGTTTCCCTTCTATCCCCCCTTCACTGGATCTCAAACCTCCACATATTTTACTCACCTTGTATGAAGGTCTGGTACCCTTGCACAACGCTTGTTCTTTTGGTCACTTGGAGGTAGTGCATCTCATGCTTGCCGCCGGATCCGATCCAAATGCACGCGATTGTTGGAACTATACACCGCTTCATGAGGCCGCGATCAAGGGAAAAGTCGAAGTTTGCATTCTCTTGCTTCAGGTAAGCAAGTTAAACGTTATCTTTGTCCCTCTCTCTCTTGTCCCGTTTGGGTGTATCTGTTTGTCTGCGCTCGTGGGTGCGCGTATGTTGCAAAACCTTAGTCCCTGAAGGACGTGGGACACATTTCTCCCTTTGTGCCTTTCTCTTGCAACTGAATTTCTGTTGATATGGAATAAACAAATGTATATTTTGGGTTCTGGCATGATGTGAGTGACCTGTATGGTGGACAATCATCAATTCTAACTAGAGAGAGAGACATATTTGGTTTTGTGGTCGCGGGGCGCGTACGTTTTGTCAGTCAGCAATCAGTTCGTTGCATGTGATCCCGATATATCGTCATGTGATCGTGCGATGCACCGAACTGATCGATATATGCTTGTCTTTCTCTTGACATATCTCATCGAGTGTGATCAGTGCATCCGAACGGTTCAGGACAATGGGCGATTCATCTCCGGCTATTTCCTTTCTTGTAACTTTGTCAGTCAACTCACAATTTTAATTATTCGGTAAAACATGCAGCAAGGATTCAGGTT